TGGAGATGATAAAGGTTCACAAACTTTTATAGCCACAAATAGGTATGCATAGAAATAAATGTACATTCAATGTACTTGATCCAAACTTTGAACCAGGAACATTCACTTTTAGATAGAAATTCATTTTCATTTTAGATTTCTGAATTTCCGATTTAAACAAAATAAATTATAGTATCATACTATTGATGATTTAATACAAATTTAGTTTCGATTCAACTATAATTTTAATCAAACAGTTTAGGTACTAACTTGCTGGATGAGAGTGGATTTTCAAGTGACTGGTCCCAATATAAACCAGACTCGACACCGGTTCGGCCTAGTCACTGGATGATTTGTCGGACCGATTCACTGTCGTGTTGAAGTGAAATGAAATTGTTAATCAATTGTCCATTCTTTCAGTCGTACATTTTTTTGTAAAAGTAATAAAATGGAAGAATTTAGTGAAATGGCAATATAATTACACAACGTTTAAGAAAAAATAAAGTACAGTTTTTCATGAATTGCTTCTTAACCAAAAAACCGAAAAAATTATATTAATGCAATCAGTTTTCAAACTCAAAAAAAAAAAATTAGAGAATAATTAAGCTAATGAACCGGTATGTTGTGATGAAAAAATGTTATAAATTCATATGATATCATAGATTACTTAAATTTATAGTCATAAACGCAAATGTAAATATTAAAAAGAATCAAAGCATGCATAAAAATTGAACCTAGTTTGGCTACCCATTTATTATATTATGAATGAAAGTTGATTTTGATACAATAATACGTATCAATTGCATGATCTATTAGGATTTTCTTTCATAACAAACATATTATATTAACTCTAGGAAACATTTCTTAAACAAAAATGCATCACAATCACCAACACATTTTGTCCGACGCAGATCTGCATGGTACTGCTATTGAGTACATCCTCCACTAGATCGTAGTTCCCACGAGAAGATCATTACAAATAAATCTCTTTGCATTGATGCGATGAAGTTGATATTTGTTATAATTATATTGTACTTAGTAATTCATTTTTATCAAATTAACAATTGGCATCTCTATCAAAATCTAGATAAGTGGAGGAGTGAATTAGCCGAAAAGTAGACATCCAGAAATTGGGTAATGATTGTAATCACAGAGTTGATCAACTGCTTCCTGCATAAGATACACACTGGTGATGTTTGTAATTAGTAGTAATATGCTTTTGAATTTTTCCTTCGATTACTTTGTGCTTTAATTTGTAAAGACGCTTCACGTTGCCATTCAAAAGAACACAAGTATCAAGTCTCTTGGTTAAAAACTTTAAGGTTTTTCTTCTGTGTCAAACAAGTGATTTTGTTCACATTTGGTTTTAAGGTCTAAGTCAGTTTTTTTTTTGTTTCTTGTCTTCATGTTCAACCTTTTAGGAGATGCGTGCTTCTTATGGATGGTTACAGCTAAATTTGACAAGGGGTTCTAGGAAATCTACTTCATAATCCTGAGTTAAAAGGAAAAGTAGAGTTCTAAAAGAGAAAAAGAACTTTAATTATTATAAAATCCATTAAATGAAAAACCTTAATAGAAAATCATCTATCTTTATCTTTTAACTTCTCTAAATATCTTGTGCTCTTACGGGCTTCAACGATTGAAATATATCAGGTGATGTTGACGCGATCTCTATAATTGTAATGATCTCTGCTCTTACTACCCTTTTCTTACGACAACACACCTGGCCTTTTTCTTACAATTATATTCCATAAAATATAAGATGTATTTGTGTGATCATGTAGCATTTGACCCAAATGTTGATGAATCGTATATTTCAAATCGTTAATACAGCTAATATTTTTTTTATGCGGATGTGGTGTAGAGATCTTAACCAAGACACTATACGTGCACGTAATCTCATTTAGTATTTTATATATTTGGTTTTATTTTCAACAACAACTATTGCCCCATATGCGGAAGCCGAAAAAGACACCATTCATATCTATCTGGTTACTAATCGTCTTTGAAACAAACAAAAAATTCATGGAGCCTAAATGGTAGCCATAAAAAAGTCGTGGATGTGGTGTAGAGACCCTAAGCTATAAAGTTTCTTGAGCCATGGAGCCTAAATGGTAGCCATAAAATGATAAACGATTATTCCTGGTTATCCGCTCATATAGCCACTACAATTGTAGGAGAATAGCTTCACATTCGATCTATCAGATCCAACCTCCGAACCAGGAATTCTCAATCCGGATAGTAATTCAATTTTATTTAAGGATTTTCAATTTCTTGATTTCAACAAAAGCAAAATCTATCTTAGTATGAATTGATTTAATATAGAATTAGTTTCGATCCAACTATAATTTTAATCAAATGGCCCGAACAGAAGATTAAATTTTGATGGTAAGAGATAGATTTTCTAGTGATTAGTAGTGAAACGCAACAAATTTTGGGAATTGTGGCTCGACATTTGGAAAAAGTAAAAGAGTAGACTTCCATAGAGGTAGAATGTGTTTTCGTCGACAGTAAATTAAATGGGAGGAGCAAGTGGTTTTTGGTACAGTGGTTTACTCACAAAAAGATGTTTCTAGTTCGACTCCATTAGAGAGGAAAGATATTTCCAAAACAAAAATAAACTAAAGACTAACTCCGGTCTTTAAGGTAAAATTAGAGTTTGGACCCGAATTTTGAGGTTATTAAAAAAAAACTTAATTTGAGGACCTCATGGAGGAGGTTGACGTAGAGGATACTAAGACTTACGAGGATGCTAGTAATGAGAATTTACTCAAACTCAACAATTGTAACATCGGAAGGAGCAGTAACATTCTGCGCACTTGAGACTTAAATATCTTATCAATTTAAAATTTCTGGTCGGAGTTCTATGTTTTATTTGGTTCTCTCAAAAACTGACCCTGACTCCATGCTATGTTAGTTGGTTGATTTGTGTGTAAAGTGTTAAAATCATAATCTTCTTCATCTAACATAGTCTTAGATTCTTATTATTATTCCGTTTTTTGTGGAAATACGAAATCCATCCCCTCTGTAAACATATTCGTAAATATTAACGAGCAGAAAAAGAAAAAAAGAGTTAGGTGAGTTGACAATAAGAGAAGCCTTCATTTGTTGATTTTTTTTTTGGTCACGAAGAAGCCTTCATTTGTTGTTAGAGAAAGAAAATAAAGAGCCTCCAAGTTAGACTTGTTTTGCCTATAAAAGGATTCCTTAAGACATGGACTTTTCTCATCTCTTCTCAAGTAACCCAATTAATTAGATAAGTTTCGTTTTTCTTGCAAAAAACAAACAAATGCAATTCTCTTCTTCATCGTCCACTTGGACAATAACGTCCTTAGTCACATTGGGATGTATTATGCTTCTTGCGTCTTTGTCCGATGCTCAACTTACCCCTACCTTCTACGACAGTTCATGCCCAAACGTCACTAACATCGTACGAGACACCATTGTCAACGAGCTTAGATCGGACCCTCGTATCGCCGCGAGCATCCTTCGTCTTCACTTCCACGACTGCTTTGTTAATGTATGATTTTTTTTTCTTTTCATATTTCTATTGTGTGTTTCATCTTTTAGATATTAATGCATCAGTTTATTAAAAAAATGACAAATATTAAATTTTAGTGCAGCACACACAGTTGTTTTAGTTAATACTCTCTCGGTATTGTTTTTATATTTCACAAGTGTTGTCCTAGATTTTTTGACGCATATTTTACTATGAAAAAAATTAGACGTCAACTTGCCTTCAGAAAATATAGCCTTGCTATAACAGAACTACATGCAGAAAAACAAAACATTTTCTCTAATTTTTCACAAATATAAAGCAAAACTATTTAATTAATATAAGAAATATTCTTTTTTATTAAACCAATTCTTAGAAGATCATAAAATATCAATAAAATATTAAAAACAAATGAGTCTTATATAGGTTTAAGGTCTAGCTATTGGTAGCTCAACTGATATACTTGCTGACTATCCAAATGAGAGAAGTACACAAGTACCGCCACGATAATGAAAAACCAAAACAAAAAATATGCATTGGTATTTGGATTTTCTTGGTTAATAAAAAGAAATTCTCTCCTTTGTTTTTATATCATGGTTTTCATATATCACATGGTTTGTCGGAAAAAAAAATGGTTTAGGGTACTTGCATATACATAATTGAAAAATTGGGTTTAGACTAACGGATAATAATTCTTGTTTTTTATGGAAAAAACATTCATTTTTTTTGTTATTTTGTGTGTGATAGTGTCAGTTAGGGTAAAATGGTATCCAACTAAACATAATAAAAGCCACTTAGATTTGATTTTATTAAGTGATATTTGTTCTACATAAGAAGTTAAAAAAAATAATTTAATAATAAAATGACAATGAACTTATTGATTTTGAGTTGAAAATCTATATAAAACCCAAATTTAGCAGATCTATAGAAAATAAT